CCATTATCGCCCTGTACCGCCGAAACAATGAAAAAATTGATCATTTATATCTTGGAAAACAATAACAATTGAATCAAGGGGATTGGACGTTGTGATACGTCGTCTCCGTCTACTTCGCACGCATATGATATAGATTAATTTAATACGTGATGTGTGAGAATTTAAAAAAAACGAGTTTGAATTCGCTTTTCCAGATCGATTAAGCATACTCTCTTTTTATATTTCAATTAAATGCTTTGGGGTAGTTATGGGTAGTATGGAAAATGAAAACAATTCGTACTCGTATAGACTAATCGGTATGTTAGTTGGACTAGAATAACATCAACATTTCAGGTTAGGGTCCGTTTACACAGTTAAACTTTGCAAATTAATTTTAGGTATTTTTGTGCAGTTCGTTTGCGCAATTGAACTGAGTAAAATATTTAGGTTTACAAATTCAATTATTTACTCGAATTTGTGTTCACTCAAAATTTGCTTTTGTAGCAGAATTACAATCCATTTCTCCGAATAGGAGCTCTCAAGAAGTAAATAAAAAAAAACACAAATAATATTAAAAATACAACAAATTATATGCACGCGTATTCCGAATCCAACAGCAAAATAATAATTATGAAACAGAAGAAACGTCAAAAACCTTTATTTTTTGCGCACGTGCGTGTCGCGTAATAATGATAAATATTGCTACGAATGCCTAGTAAGAGAAGTCTGTAGATACGCTGACTAAAGTAGTACCTCTCGTTATAATAATAATAACTATGGTAATATAATTAGTAAATGAATAATAAGAATTTAATATTGAACGAATAAAGACATTTTCGAAGAAATTATAGAAAACATAGTGAAACTATTTAAATACCATTAATTCACATTTAAACATTAATTAAACAATCATTTTAATTAGTGTTCGTTTTAAGCGTCGAAAAATCAGATATTTGTAGATATTTTAATAGAATAATAATGATTTAGGGTGTAGTTCTGCACGTTTAACATTTATATCGTAAATCGTACAAAAGTTATGAAAATTCGAAATAGTGCGAGAAAAGGCGATTTATTTGTACTCCACGATTTACTCAGCCCCATAATTTGTCTCGAAGGCGTATATTTACTTCGACGAAAAGGTCTTTTTAACTGTAAGAAACCCATCGGTTGTGCCGAATATTTTTATATATCGATTCCGCCGAAAATGTATATACATCTAAGATCACTATATACCCATTGTATTATATATACTATGTATAATATATATATACCATATCTGGCACGACGGTACAGTGGCACGAAGCTAAGTAAGAAAAAAACATATACATTTTATAGAATAAATAAATAATAATAATATATATAATAATCAACAACAATTGTAGTTGGATTGAAATGTTTTGAGTATGTTTTTAGAATACATCTAAATGCGGTTTCTTCTTCGTATGTGCTTTTTTCTGGCAATAAGAAATAGGATAATGGAACATAATGTTCATTTTTAAAAATATGAACCGTAAACAGTTGATAGAAATATTTTGGGCAACTATAAAATGTACCGCCATCTACAAATATTTTGTCACTAGTGCATAGCAATTTTAAATTAGAATTTGTAGAGTAGAATAAAATACTGTTTACTGTGTCAGTATTTAGTAGAAAATCTGCTGGAAACAATATTATGTATTTACAAAATCCGAAAATATTTTAATATTATAATGTATATGTTATATTATCATATACATATATAAATCTTCGGCGGAATCGATAAACTCTTTTGTCTCGTATGATACATCGTCTCATTGTGAGGGTTCCGAAAATCTGTAAAATATCGCTCGTGACGTTTCAAAAAAATCAAATTAAATAACGCGTATTTGATCAGATACAGACGCATTATTATTATGGCTGATCATGGTTGCGACGGCGGGTTATAGCCCAAAGTTTAGCAGTAGTGCACGCGTTGTTTCTTCGTTTTGCGATATTTGTGTTTTGCCGCCCCTCCCACGCCGTTAGTAAATCAAATCGTAAATAAAAAAAAAAATATTAAGAAAACAGTAATAATAATAAAGAAAAAATTGAAATATGCGCGTAGAATAAAATAATATAAACAGTCTCTGTCTGTGCGCTGAACATTTATTCGGAACGAGGCAACACGCGTCCGTTCCGATTCGTGCTGGGCCGTGTGGGCGTCGCTTTTGAGCAATTAGACGTTTCGGCGGTATTTAATATCGAAAACACATAATTCATGTGCACGAGGACGTACAGCGTGCGTATATAATGTACTGCTGTTGTGCACCGTTGCAGCTGACACTTCACGTCTGCATCTATCGTATAATGCATCACGCGGGAAACGATCTTTCGGACGATGCGACTGTTCAGATTGCCCACGTTATTTTTAGTAATATTATATTGTGTTACCATAAGCGGAAATTTGGTGAAATTAGTGGGGAGGCTCAGCATTATTTGATTATTACACCTATAGGTACCCCTGTACGCAATTATTTATTTCAACAAGGCAATTTACAAAGTTTGACAATTTAACATACTCAACAATTTAACCAAAAAAACAATTAGGTGCGTTATCTTAAACATTTTTGGAGTAGGTATTCTAAATAGAAATTATTAATTAATTAAATTAAACAACCAATGCGGGTATAATTACATATTATTAATATTACATTAATTACGATCATTCCAAGTCATGATAGTAAATATGTAAAATCTCACGAATTTTATTTAATTTTTATCTCAGAATATTTTTTTTTAATTCAATATTATTAATGCATTTTACAATTATAATAATTATTGTATTTTTAGTCACTTAACAATTTTTAAGGCTAGGGGGGCTAAGACCTGTACTTTACATTTCTGGGAGGCTCAGTCCCCTCAAGCCCCCCCCAATTTCTGCCTATGTGTGTTACATTTAGTTTATGTTATAGTTGACGCCTGAGATGCTAATAATAATAAATCGTTCGATGTAAAAATGAATGATATTGTTTTGCTCCGGCGTGCTATAGTTTAAAAGTTTTCGTACCCAAATGATCTTTCTTATCTATCTATCTGTCTATATATATATAAGGGATGGGTCTTATCACTCATCGAGAGTAGGGCTAATAGAGGTTCAAGAATTTAGTTAGTCGTTTCTTAAATCTATATAAAATTTTAAATTACAGAATATGTTTTCAAGTCCCTCATATGTAAACCATTTTTTTCACAATAATGACAAATTTTAAATATTTACATTATTGGTATCAATTTTAATCTGAAATCGTTTTAAAAATATAGGTAACACATATGATTAACAACAATAATGAGCTATTTATTTTTAAAAAAAATGTTTAAAATAGGTACCATAATCATCAATGACGATTGACGATATTTTATAATAATTATTAATATATCAATATATCATAATACTTGGCTTTGTAAAATAGTTAGCTTAGTCCCACAGAGGGGGCTGATGCCCCCTTAGCCACCCCCTTAAACCCACTCCTGATATATATATATATATATGCTGTGCGTGTGTATTGTGAAAATTCGAACCACCACTTAGTCCATCGTTATTCGTTCAATCAAAGAGATCAAAGTTCTAAAACGTATAAATTATTCTCGTGATAAAAATATGTTATTGTCACTCTATATGTTTATAATTCTTATAAACGTTAACTCATTATTAACTTGTTGCTTGGGCGCATGCACGAGAATCTGTTCCATATGTTTGTGTTCACACGTGTGTATAGTCATGAGTTGGATTTTTTATAGGAATATTATGTAATTCTAAATTTCCAAAATAAAAACGCTTAAGACAGAAAATTAAAGACGAAAATTGTTTTCGTCAACTCGCGTAATTTTACTCGCCTGTGGAAATGTTAATATTATGTTAGAATATTATGTGGAAAAAATCGTGATGGGTTAGGGGGTTAAAAAAGTTAACAATTAACTTGCTGAGAAACAAGATTTACAGCGGTTAATAGTAATCAATATGACTAGAAAAAAATTTGTTATATTTTGTTATGTTTTACTATCTACTTGTTTTATTACTAACATGTATTAACTACTATTTGTATCCAACTAATAGGATTTATTTATTTTTTTGTTATAAATTAATATAATTACATGCGATGTTAAACTATTCGTTTTTAGTGTACTAGTATTTTCTTTTTCTTTTATATGTATAAGTGTAGAGTACGGTTTTATTATTACGAATTGTATTGAAAGCATTTTTACCGCTCATAGTATGTATTCCTAGAGTATGTACGTTCCATAAGACTGTTTTTTATTTTACTGAGACGACAATAGTTGTTTCAATTTTACCAAAAATATAAGGTGCCCAGGGCAATTGTTTAGCTTGTTTCATCGGAATAACAATATCACGTGTAGCACGTATTAACCAAATAATATTATATCCGCCGAAATTATGCCAATATTTATGTATCATATTATATTGTGTTAATAAAGTACTTTTTATACTATATTATATATAATATCTGCGACGTATTACATTGCTATTATTATCACCCATTATAGTATTATAGCGTATTATCGCCGTAACGCTCTCTTCAGTGTACACGTCCGTCTGTGCCCATCCACCACCGACGCTGGTGCACAGTCTTATTGGTAGACTGGTGTGTGTAAAAATGTTCGTGTGATTTTTTTTTTCCTGTTGTCAATAAAGAAAATCCCAAACGTGTGTATACTTAAAACGTCATTTATACGTATAGGTACCCCGCGGGAGGCGATTCGGATATACCTACCTAGTAATAATAATAATAATATTATTACTATTATTATTATGTGTGAAATACCGTTTTTCAAGACGGTATACGTACACGTTCAACATCTCGGAAACCCACCACCCGCGGTCAACGCACCAAACTATAATAATAATAATAATAATAATATAATATAATGTACATAATACGTATATTTTTTTCGGGCGTGCGGTACGAAAATGTCTATAAATTTCAATTGTGTGTGATGATCGTTTGTGTTATTTTTTTTATTTATTTATTTTTTCCTTTCTTTCGCAGTCACCTCACCAGAACGACTCAGTGGGAAGACCCGCGAAAGAGCTTGGCCGCTCAGGCGGCGAACCAACACCAGCGCAGTGCCGAACAATTGTTGAGCCCCGGTAACGACAGCGGATCGAGTACCAATGCCACCAGCACACCTACAAACTCGCCACCACACATTCATTCGACCCTCCAAGGCAAGTGGATCTTATTTATTAATTTTTTTCCCCATTCATCTATTCCGAAGTAATATAATACCGTTCTCGTGAATATACGCGGGGCGCTGCGTATACGTGTGCGTTGCGATATCATTTGGATCGGACGCGGTCGTGAATCAGTCACGTATTCCAGGTAACATAGGCGTGCGCGCGGAGATGGCAGGGTGGGCTCTTGTTGCCCGAAAACTATTTGGACGGATTTGAAATGTCTCGACCGATCCCTAGTTGGGTCACCGTATAATAATGCTCAGCGTAGAATAAGTTCGTGTGTGTTGAAGATGCTATTGAGAATGTCCGAGAAAAATAGAAAAAAAAAATGTTGCCATTAGACGGGGGAAAATGTAAAAAACGATATCGGGAACTCATTGAGTATAGAATTTTTCGGGGGGATACTGAAAAAATGATCCATGCATACTTAAGAAAGAAGAATGGGCTGTCATTGATTTTTACTGCACGTTACCTGAAATTCTGCACTATAGGTGCACTATAGGTACACTATACATTTTTTAGGCAACCCACGATTCTAAACAAAAATTTAAAGCTTGACACCGAGGTGCGGCTTATAGTTTTTTATAGCTTTTTGGTTTAGTCAATAAATAACGAATAACTCTATTGATAAAAAAAAAATTATTGTTTAAAAGTGAGATCGTTATATACAAAAGCAATCAATTTTATATTTATTATTTCAAACTTTTAATAAATTCTTCATAAAATACAAATTATTGAACCTAGTCTGTTTATTTTTTAACATTAACTTGAATTTTTTGAATGGAGTTAATGAAAAATTTGGACTTGCATTCAATTTAAAATTATCATATCAGATATTAAAATAATCTGTTCAAATACTTTGATCTGAATTCTGAGTCTTTGATCTTGTTTTGTAAGATACTGTAGTAACCAGAAGGGGTATTTTAGTTTAGATTTACTGCTGAAAAGTTTGATTGTGAGGAAAAAATTTTAAACAGATATTCTATCATATTGTTTTCCTTGGAGTCTACTTAAGTATTTAAACTTTAAACGTTAATGAAGATAGGATTTTTATACGCGATAACTCAGAATAACTAGTAACGTGAACACTTAAGAGATATAGACTGTTAAAATTAGAACTGCAGGAAATGTGTAGATTTTTGATGATTTTTGTTTTGGACTTTGTTGTATAGGAACGAACAAAAACGTGACTCTGGGCCCGTTGCCCGATGGATGGGAACAAGCCGTCACCGTGGACGGCGAGACATACTTTATAAATCACATAGCCAGGACCACATCGTGGTTCGATCCGAGAATACGTAAGTATAATAAGTATACATAGATAAATTTTTATGCATATATATATACCGTTATAAAAATATATTATAATCTATATATATGTACGTGCGACAACGTAACCGTACAAATTACAATATAATACAATATTATGAATGTATAACACTAGCTGTGTGATAATAATCAGTGGCATTACTATAAAATGAATCAGAAGGTGTGGTGCACCCATGTCGTTTTGTTAAGAATATAAGATATGAAAAAAAAATACAACAAAAATCAATTTTTCAAATAATATTAATTATTATTTATTTTATAAATACGCTTTATTAGGAATGTTAAACATTACAAATCGTATACAAAAATCCAAGTACCTTAGTTAGTAAATTAAAAAATATTACGAGTTATAGACGTGACTGTGCGCAGACATTTACGAATTTCATTATCTTAACGAATTTTGACGGAGTTACGCCACGTTAATGCGTTTTGTTTTTATCTCCAGCTGCTCATTTGCAAAGAGCGCCGACGTCGGGAGCGGTGCTACCTTCGGGCTCGGCGTCGTGGCTGCTGAACGGCGGTTCCGGGTTGTCGCAGTCGCTCCAAGTCACCCAGCAAAAGCTCAGACTTCACTCGCTGCAAATGGAGCGCGAACGTTTAAAGCTCCGCCAACAGGAAATCATCCGTCAGGTGAGTACGCACCGCACGTGTACGGGGAAATTTCATACTTATGCTTAGGCCGCCCGCATACCAAAAGAACAAAACTGCGTTAGACAGTGTTAGCCTAACACAGTTTTGTTAAAAATAGAACATAAGAAGTTACATTGCATACGTACACTGATAAGACATTGTAAAAAAAAAAAAAAAAAACGTTTTTGCTTTCAAACACAATTATTCATGACTAATACTGTGTGAGTGTACACACATTTTTCGTTAGTTACAACTAGACGAGAAAGAATTATTATTAAGAATTATTCGTGTGTATTTTGTATTTCGAATATATTTTTAATATTATTTTTTATATACTTATCACATAATGGCTTGTGTTGAGGAGATACTAATAAATTAATGGAAATAAGACCATTTATTTATGATTTTTGGAGACAAGGACCAAGTTTTTATTTAATGGATGAATCTATATTTATTTTTTTTTATGATTCTGTTCTAAATTTTATAATATGTACCACTAGCAAATCGCAACATCTTCATCAGATGACGTGATGACAACTGATTTTTGTTTTTTCTAATAGTGTTTTGTCTAGGTAGACTTTATTTGTACACTTTATAAAAACAAATTGTTTTTAGTTGTCTAACACAGTTTTGCTCTTTTGGTGTGCGATCGGCCTTAGGCACGTGTACCTCAGCACAGCTCGAACCCATATACCGTACCCACGTACGGTTGTTCTAAACCCTCGACTGTTCTCGATACGACCGCCGTTACGAGATTCGTACACTTGTCCGGTATCGAACCATCGAGTTTATCATACGAACATTGTTTTACGTTATATTTTCACTTAACTACCGTGAACCGTATTGTAATATTCATCACGTATTGCAAAATTAGCAACTGCGCAAAGAGGAAGATTATGATGTGTTACGTGAACGTTTTATTAAATGGACGTCAACATTATTCGCGATTGGGCATTAGTACCTGATCGGTATGTACGACTACACTTCTGCGAGGAGATAAGGCGATAGAACGAATGAAAATAAAAATCATCTTCCGTGTAACCGGTTAACACTAAACCCATCACTAGAATCGAATTCTTAACGGTGCCCGTTCTAAAAATAAAAATAAATCCTCAGATATACGCCTCCGCGAGGAAACAGTGTGTATTTCTCGTGTATTTATTTGCCCTGCGAACGTTGTAGAACTTACGCAACTTTTATCGTATTAATAAATACGTGTGTATGCGTGCACTTAACTGCTATGTCGTGTGTATGTTTTTTTTTCCGGTGAGCAGCAAGAGCTTATGTTGCACTCGGGCCAGACGACCAATGACCTCGACCCGTTCCTATCTTGCAGCAGCAGTAACGTCGATCATTCGCGGCAGGAATCAGCCGACAGCGGCTTGGGCCTGGGAAATAATTACTCGCTGCCGCACACTCCCGAAGACTTTTTGTCATCCAACATGGACGACAACATGGACTGTACTTCAGGTAAAAACTATAAAAAATTCGCACGTAATCGTGTGTTCCCCAACAAGTTCATCACCACCTTCAATTGATCTCGAATGAAATATGGAAAATTAAATTAGACGAAACAAAAAAAAAAAAATTCACACTTACATCCTCATCTAATTTTCATCATTAACCCCTTGCTAAATTCAAATTCTATTATGTAACTGGGAGCACCTATTGATAGACTCACGTGAAAAGATTACGTCAAAAATAAAAGAAAACAATGTTGCTCACGCCTGTACCGTCCAATTTTTAAATCTAAACTTAGCCTTAAAACAAAATACTTATACAAAAATAGCCCCGTTAAGTCATGGCATCCAAATTTAAGATTAAATCAAATCGTCTAACATTCGTATGGAAAGCGTCTTTACGATTAACTACTAGATGCTCATGGTATGTCTCAATACTTAATTTACATAATGACCTACAAATCTTTTCTCTTGAATTCTCCTAGCCAATCATTAATACTAATGATTTCACTACAAACTTACAACCACAAAAATCTCCTTATATCCAAAATGTCCTCTCTAACTATTCCAGGAAATTTAATTCGATAGCTAAAAAAATTGGCTAAAAGATGCCTAAACATAAAAAATACCAAATGAAAATATATAAATAACTTTGTAAATATATTTTAGAGGTGCTACTACTCATGAGTGTCTTCCTCCATCATATGGCCATGTATTTTTTTCTATTGAAAACAATTCAAACTTATTTATTGTGTTTGTACAAGTATAGATTATAAATATCGTGGATGAAAAATCACGTGTCGAACCCAGAGGCTAAAATATATACTTTTTCGTACCGCACACTTAAGGGTTTTGTCATGCTTCCTTTTCAAATGTTAATAGTAATGAGTAACACAGTTAAAATAGTTTGTATTTTAGATTTTGCTGATGATACACCTTGAAATTTTAAAAATATGTAAAATAATTTAATAAAAAAATGTAAAATTAAAAATAAATATCATAATATAGAGAATAGAACCACAAAACACTTCGTACAATTTCGTACTACTCTTAACATTTCATATTACACAAAGTGTGTCGTATTGCACATAATTTTAGTCCCTGGTCAACCCAATATATTATACCATCGTTACTCATGTACAACGATTAATTAATAATGTATTTGATAAATTATCCATTAAAAAATTTTTATACGGCTTACTACAAACATCGTTTAAATATACAATCTACATATTTAATATTAATATAGTATATTTAATCAATGCTACATCATATTTCATGCTGTATCTCTTAGTAATATGTTAACAAAAATACTCACATCATACCATTTATTTGTATTTCCATACTATCTCTTCACAATTACGCTTTTAAATTCCATTGTAGTACTACAACTATAAACGAATAATGTGTCTTACTGAGGATATTGTCCCTGTATACCATGGGCGTCTAAATCTCATCTGTAACAATATACATTGTACAGGTAGATTTATAGTGTAAATAGCATATAAAACAAATTACAATGTACAATTTTATTATTATTATTATTATTATTATTATTTATATTTATATGGTCACTTGACCTAACGGTATTATATTTTAATTTTATTTTTTTGCACGCGCACGAACACAGAAAGCGATAATCCAGGTCCATCGTCGGACATGTCGGTAGTCGACTCGCAGGAAATGGCCTCGTTGGATGTCACCGACGACTTAGTCCCGTCACTTCAAGTAATTATACAACAATAGTACAATAAATATAAATGAATATAATATAAATGAAACACAACGAACACCCCGTAGTACATATACTCCCCCTTTAGATTACCCATACATATTGCTCACAAGCAGTGTTAGAATCAGAAAAATAAGTCCCTATGGCTTTTATATTTATAACAACAGTACAATAGTCTATTGCGTAAAGGCTATAGGGCAAACACTGCTGTTTACTTAAATTAAAGGGAACGATTCTTCCGGTTTCAAATACTTTTAATTATATCTGCGATCGTGATGTGATCTGATACATTTATAAAAATAAGAAAATATGATTTATACGATGATTGTCTTCTCGAAAAAAAATTGAGATGCTTACAGTAAAATCATTGAAAAATACTATCCTTCCCTTACAGTGCCCCGCCATCAGTAAAAAAAAAAAAAACACAAAAATAAAAATCATGCGTTGATTAGGTATATATATTAATTTTTGTTTGTGTTTTATTTTATATAGTTAGGGGACGAATTTAGCAATGACATACTGGACGAGGTACAATCGCTGATCGATCCGAACAACAAACCCGGATCAATTTTGACTTGGCTATGAAAACATTTGTCATATATTTGTTTTTATATAAAAATAACTTTTATATATATATATATATATATATATATATGTATATATACATGTATTTGCATATGTGTATTAATTAATTTTAATTAAGAGGTTTTATTTGTACATGCCTGCGTGTGCGTGAACTCTGTGTGTGTGTGTGCGTGTTTTTAAAATCCGTTTTATCATAACCGATATGATGCGAAAAAATTATGGACAGCAGCAGCGTGCGCGCGAACGAACGGTGCAGCACTAAGGAAAAACTACCGGACGCGGTCAAAACGTCGTTGTGACACAAAACATAAAACGCGTAAAATATTATTGCTGTAAAACGTCACAGCGGACTCGTGCTTTCCCGTTCAGAGAAAAAAAAAATTATACATCCATATTTATTTCGGGTAGTGTGTCGACCGTAACGATTGCTAATACGATCATTGTACGCGAGTGAGAACGAAGATTCCGTGCCCGGGATTCGAACCACATTTTCGCCGCACACGTGCGTACGTACAGCCGCGCATGGCCACGCATTTTCGCCGCGAATCGATAGCGTTTACAGATGCGTATAAATATTATCCTCGCCCGTACAATATCGGTTATTTCAAACGTATCGTATTATATTAATCGTGTACGTACGCGTCCGGAGGCTCCTTCCACGCATGTCGACGACGATAATATACTATCTGAACGAAATCCTCCGTCCGCAGCGATCGTTTCCCGCGGTCCCCGTCACCGTCTAAGGAAACCGCGAGTGTTATACCTCTACCGCGTAATAAATTATCATGATAATCATATGTTATTAAACCGAGGGTGAATTTTCAAAAACGTCTTTAATTACAATTAATTTGTCCTCCATTTCACTGCCAAAACAGATTTTACAGGGTATGAACGATTTTTTTTTCTCGTTTACTCGCGCATATTCGAACTGTGCACCGCGACCTAATCATTGTTATTGGGTGCGCCGTTCTTTCGACAAAAACGGTTGTATCTAACCAATCGGATTTTTTCGTACTGACCGAAATACTAAGTGCCCTAAGAAATAATAAAAAAAAAAATATTTTTAACCGTCCTTTTTTAATTGTTGAATACGTTATCGTGCGAAAAACGTGAATATTTATCTTGTTGACAGTATTAAGTTTATATTATTAATTATTATGTATTTTTTTCATAATATATATATTATTAAAATATAAGAGTTGCATATGACAATCGTACTTAATTAAGCCCTCGCTACGAGCGTATTCATCCACCTGGAGTGGAGCGCTATCCGGCAGCGAGTATTACCGTTACAATATATATAGCACGCCTAAATTTGTTCGGAAAAATTTATTCTAGTGCTTGGTAGAGTTGTAAGTATAGATAAATAATGTATTACAACTAAACTGTAAATAATAATTTTAATAATAATTAAAATATAAGTAAAAAAATAAAACCATTCGAGGATCATCATAATAAGGTGACATTTTTAATATAATTTTGTATGCTTATAAATATATACATATATTATGTTATAATGTATGCAAATTTATATATTATCTATGGTATATAGTACATGTGTATGTTTGTGACATAATGTAATGTGCATACATAAGTACATAATATAAGTTATATTTGCTCAACTGTAAAGTTGGAATATTATTTTGATTATAATAAATTGTACTTCTTTTATGTATTAAGTTTAAATATATATATTTTGATAAAGTATTTCAAATAATTGTAGTAAATAAAATAGAAAATAATAAATGAGCTTATTGAAAGTATTTAGTTGATTGTAATAATTTGAATTATATCATATCGTTCTTTGAACTTTGTGAATGGATGTTTTTTTTACTAACTCTAAATGTACGTTTTAATTTAAACACATTTATAATATTAAGACTGTTTGTTCTTTTTATAAATTATATATCAATTGTATCGAATATATATTTATATGAATATATATTATTTGATGTACATTTATTAGTAGTTGTTGTAAAATTGTATGTAAATGTGAGTGCAATTCAGGTACATTTATCTATCTAAAATTTAATTAAACAAAAACCGTGATCACAAGATATTTAATAACATAATATGATATAAGAAAAACAGCAAATTTTTTTTAGCAATAATATTGATTAAAAATACTATAGTATAATAGCATCTATAATCAATAGCAATACTATTAGATTTGTTTAAAATACCTTTTATCTCAGCATTACTGTAGATGTTATATTATAATATATAATGGAGAATTATGTGCCTATTTTTGTAATGTTAAACAAATTTATAATATATTATAAATAAATGTATTTTTTTTAATCTTAATGCATTATATTATTAGCTTAGTTTGAAAAATACTATACTTTATCATATTTTCCTATTATAAAGGAACAAACTTGACAAAGTTTACCTTGACATTTTAACTTGTGATTATTTATTGTTTCAGATTTAAATACATATGAGATAACTATTCTAGAGGCTCATCCCATTCTGTTACCAGGATGTTTTTATTTATTTGACAATTTGTGTCTGTAAATTAAATAGAAATAATTAAAATAATTGGAGTATTTCTTTATTATTTTGTCTGCTAAGAATTTATCTTACTTCATAGATAATTATTCTTAACTTTTAAAGAATACAGTTAAAAATATATAAAAAAGTAATTAGGTTCAACAAATTAATTGTATTATTGGGGTCAGTTACTTAATGGGAGATAATATTATCATATTGAAATTAATGCCATGATCGTTTAATAATAAACATTAAATAAATGGAACTGTAAAATTATACACATACATACAACAGATTAATTGCATTGATTTAATAGCATACACAATATTTTAAAATCAATGCAAGTAGAAAAATGAATAAACATATGTTATGACACATTCTAGATTTTTTTTATTTTATACACAATAAAAAAAATTTCAAAAATAAAAAAAACATTCCTAAGTAATTTGTCAAAAAACATTTCTAATTATGTTGATTATATGGAATTATAATAAAATAAGAAAATATAGTGCCATTATTATCAACAAGAAACTTACGTTGGAGGATTAAAATATGAATAGATTTACATTTCTAGAGAACACATTGATTGACTTAATTGAAATAAATAATAATAATACTTAAATTATTTTATGAAAAAAATTAAAACTTTTTCACTCATAGTTAATTTATTAAGAGTTTAATACAACTGAGAATGCATACATCTAAATTTTTTGCTTTTATAATAATCACAATATGATAGAAAACGTTAAGTGATTTTAATAAACACAATGAATAAGTACTCGATAAAGTTTTTTTTAAAAAAAAAAAGTGAATAATCTTAAAACATACAAAATAAGTCAAAATTAAAATTTATACTACTCATATTTACTCATATTTCCAATTACTCCTCTTACTGTTTTTTCTACTACAGCAGCAACTAAATTTGGATCGAATTGACCAGCAACATCTTTAGATTGAGATACAGAAGATGAATCTGAATATTCATTTTTTCTCCATACTTGTCCAGAATTATAAGATCTGCTATTGTCATACGACTTTCTATCATAGCGATTTTTCCTAACACGATCTAAATAGCTGCCACAATCATAATCATCCCAACCACTATTGTTATAATAGTTATCACGACTACTATAGGAATCTCGACTTCCTCTCATACGACTACCATAGGGATTTCCATTACTGCCACTACCACCACTTCCACCACCACTACGTCCACCACGTGATCTGGGGTCTTTATCCTTAGGCATCGCAACAGATACACTGAGACGAGTATCTTTGATGGTATGATCTTGGTCAAGAGCCGTAAGTGCAGAATCAGATTGGGTAAATGACACAAAAGCAATGCCTTTAAATGGACGAGGAACAAATACTTCAACAATATCACCAAATTTTTTAAAATATTCTTCAAGATCTTCTTGAGTAATATTTTCAGTCAGTTGACCCACAAATATTTTCTTTGGTGCTTCATTTATAAATGCATCCTAGATGAAAAAAATAAAATAAATGTATTACTGTTTGAAACATTAGCACAAATTAATATTAGTAGTTCTAAATATTATATAATATTATATAAAATTATCACAAAAAAAAAAAAAAAAAAAAACAGAATATCTATCGATATTGTTTATCAGTAATTAAAAAATGTAATATTAAAAAAACAGTTCTATTAATTTATTTTTTTTATTCAAATATGTTTTGACTTTTCAGTTCAGAAAAAAGTAAATTTATAGTTAATTTTAAGGAGAAAAATTGTTTTATAATTTAAATACAAAAAAATAGATGCATACTATGAGTATAATAAATAGCAATTTAAGAAATATAGCCAATAGTATCAAATTATGTAATCAATAGTGTAAGAAACCACTAAAATTATATCTACCAGTTAATTATTTATTTATTAAATCTGCAATTTGTTATAATACACAGCATAAATTATAGATATGGTAAAAAATACTAAATATTGAGACATTTATTTATAATAAATATGTTTAAACATGAAAAGAAGTCATTGGTGATTAGTTATTTTATCCCTTATATTTTATTATTTTATATTATATTCAAATTTGAAATTAGTCTCATATACAAAATAAGAAATAGAATCACTTACACAAACACACACACACACACACACACACACACACACACACACACACACACA